GCCCCGGGAGGGGACGGGTGACCCCCCCCAATCGAGTGATGGGGGGCAGCGGGACCCCCGAGTGGCACCGGGACCCCCAGGTGGCATCGGGAAAGACCCCCCCGTGTGACAGTGGGAGAAGGGGGGGTCACCGGGACCCCGCGGAGCAGCCCCGGGAGGGGACGGGTGACCCCCCCCAATCGAGTGATGGGGGGCAGCGGGACCCCCGAATGACATCGAGACCCCCGAGTGACAGCGCGACCCCCGAGTGACATCGAGACCCCCGAGTGGCACCGAAAGACCCCCCCCGCCGTGTGACAGTGGGAGAAGGGGGGGTCACCGGGACCCCGCGGAGCAGCCCCGGGAGGGGACGGGTGACCCCCCCCAATCGAGTGATGGGGGGCAGCGGGACCCCCGAATGACATCGAGACCCCCAAGTGACAGCGCGACCCCCGAGTGACATCGAGACCCCCGAGTGGCACCGAAAGACCCCCCCCGCCGTGTGACAGTGGGAGAAGTGGGGGGGGTCAATGGGACCCCCGCATAGGGACCCCCCCACCGACCCCTCCGGGCTCCCGGGGCTGCCCCGGGTGGGCGGGGAAACGGCTCGTGGGAGGGGTGGGCACCGAGCCCGGGGGTTTTGGGGGGCACAGGGAGCCCCCCCCAATGTCAGGGCTACCCCCCCGCCCTCCCGGGGAGCTCATTGGGGGGGCACGGGGGGCTCTGCCTCCCCCTCTGCCCCGGGGTTTGGGGTGGGGGGCTCAGACACCACACTGGGGGGGGTCGGAGGTTTGGGGTCCCCCCCCCCGGCCATGCCCCTTGTATTGTCCCCAGAACAAAGGTCCCTCTCGGGGGGTCCCTTCCCGGGGGTCCCACGCGGTGCCAGGGGGTGCTGGGAGGGGCGAGGGGGAGCAGGACATGTCTGGGAGGGGGGGACACAGCCAGGGCCCCCCAAGTCCTGACCCCCCCAAAAGCTCAGGGCCGAGCCCAAGGCTCATTAATGTTTGAAGAGGCCAATTACAGGGAATGTGCATGGAATGCTAATTGGGATTGGGGGGGTGCTGCCTTTCTCCCTGGCTCTCCCTGATGCCCCCCAGCCCCCCCCGGCCCCCCAGCCCCCCCCAGAGCCCTCTGAGAGCGGGTTAATTAGCACCCAGCAATTAGCAAGGGGGTGCCTTGATGAGGGGAGCCCCCGGTTGGGTGGGTGGGGGGTCCCCAGGGGCAGGACCCGCCCCGGTGCCCACGTACAAATCACCCTCTGGAAGACCAGGAAGCAACTGGCTCTGACAAATCCAATTTATTCCGGAGCTGTGGCTGCTGGAGCCGGGGAAGGGCGGGGAGGGGTTTGTCACCGAGCTCCTGGGGACATCTGGGGGGGCTCAGGGAGGGGAGGGGGCTGCTGGCAGAATACCCACACCCCCACAGTGTGGGGCTGGGTGAGCCCCCCGGGGCTGGGGGGCAGGACCCAGTCACAAAGGTGGGATCTGAGCCCCCCAGGAGACGGAAAAGGGGTCCAGGGTCACTTGGAGCAGGGACATGACAGCTCCAGGATTCCAGATTTGGGCTCCAGGACACTGGATTAGGGCTTCAGGGTCACTTGGAGCAGGGACAACACAGCTCCAGGACTCAGGATTTGGGCTCCAGGGACAAAAAAAGGGGTGGTGGGCCCTCCTGAGGTGGCAGAGGGGTGAGTGCCCACCTTGCCTCCACATTCCAGTGGGAAGGGCGGCTCCGAGGTCCCTTCACTGCTGTGGGAGGGTCAGTGAGCCCCCAAACCAGGGCCTGGGCACCCCCAGGATGGAGACAGCAGAGTCCTGTGCTTCCCACCACATCCTGGGAGCAGGGCTGGGACCCACACCAGGCTGGCTGGATGCTGGGATTGGGCACAGAGGCTTCCCACAGGATCCCTGCTCCAGGGAAACCCCCTTCCCACGGGAGCAGCTCCTCTGTGTGCCAGCAGCGAGGGCGGGCACGGCGGGTCAGGATTTGGGAACAGCAGCTGGCCTGGAATTCCCTGGGCCCAGGCTGTGCTTCCAGCTCCACGTGGGGCTCCAGGGGCAGCTGCTGCCATCCAGGAACATCCCCATCCTGCCCAGGTGGCTCCTCAGTCCTCGCTGTCCTCGCTGTCCGAGTAGGCTCCCAACAAGCTGAGGGAGGACGTGGAGGTGCTGGTCGGGGTGGGAATCGAGCCTGGAAGAGCAGGGAGAGAGGGAAGACCATCAGGGACAGCCCCCTGGAGCCTGGGAGAGGAGGGAGAGGGCAGAGACCAGCAGGGACAGTCCCCCCATGGCAAATCCCACCGGCCTGCTTGGCCTCATCCCAGAGGCTCCATCCAGGGGCTCACCCCGGGCCTGATCCTGATGGGAATGACAGGGATAAATCAGGTGGACACGGAGCCCCCACACCCCTCAACGTTGGCCCAAGGTCTGTGAACCCCCTTCTGTCTCCACAGCCCCCCACCAAAGGAGATTCCAGCCACTGGAAAAGGGGGATCAGGGCCAGCTCTTGGATCCCACCACTCTGGCTGAGATCCCGAATCCTTGAGGGGCAGGAGCTGCTCCAGCAGGATTTGGCTGCACAGTCCTTGCCAGCAGCCAGGAGCAGGTGGCTGGGAAAATGTGGGAATAAATGGGACAACTCCAAGACCTGTCCTTCCCCAGGGATCCCTCAGAGAGCTGATCCCTCCTCAGGGAGCCCCCAGAGAGCTGATCCCCCCTCATGGATCCCCCACAGGGACTCCCTAAGCCAAAGGCTCAGGATCACCCAGCCCAGCACCAATGAATCCATCCCTCCCCAAATCCATGGATCCTCTGGCTCTCTGGGTGCTGGGAAGCCTCTCACCCTGTTTTCTGCCCCCAAAAGCTTCCCAACTCCCCCGGTTTCCCAGGATTTATCAGCAGGCCCCCAAACCAAAGCAACCCTCCCGCTTTCCCAGCCCCATCCCGCTGTTGTGACGCTCCCAGTGTCCCATCTGTGCCCCAACAACCAGTCCCCAAGGCCGTGGCTCGGCGCCAGGAGCCTGGAAGGAGCCGGGAAAACCCTTGGAAGCACGGACAGACCCCGGTTCTCCCACCAAGAGCTTCACTCCAGGCTCTGAAAACGGAGTCAAACCCCCCTTGGGAGCTGCCAGAGCCCCCCCTGAGGGCCCAGCCCGGGGCAGGTACCGGTGCCTTGGCTCTTCATCCCATTTTCCAGGCTTGGATCCGCCTTCTGCTTCCTCAGGGACACCAGCCCAGCCAGCTGGGCCTTGCTGTTGAGTTTGCCCACACTCCTCTCCCAGCTCTCTGTCCTCAGCTTCTTGCTCTGGGGCTGAGGGTCCTGCAGGGAGACAGGAGAGGGGGTCAGGGGGCTCCAGCCTCGGAGGGGAGGGGGAGGAAAGGGGAAAAACAGCAGCAGGAAAAGCGGGAGACGCAAGGGAGAGGCCAAGGGGGGGAATTCTCCCCCTGCAGCACCCGGGACAGGCTGGATAAACAGAGCCCTGGAGCCAAAACAGCCCTTGGAGATCAACGTCCCGCTGTCTGGGATTGAAGCCCAGCCTTGGGATGGCCCTGGGATGCTGAGGAGGCAGATAAATAATTCCAGATAAAAGAATTCCAGACTGGTTTGGGTTTGAAGGACCCTAAAGATCATCCCACTCCACCCCCTGCCAAGGGCAGGGACACCTTCCACTAGCCCAGGTTGCTCCAACCTGGCCTGGGACACTTCCAGGGATGGGGCAGCCACAGCTTCTCTGGGAATTCCATCCCAGACTCTCACAGCCAGGAATTCCTTCCCAATATCCCACCTAAATTCCCCTCTTTCACTTTGAAGCCATTCCCTGTGTCCTGTCCCTCCATCCCTTGTCCCAAGTCCCTCTCCAGCTCTCCTGGAGCCCCTTCAGGCCCCTGGAAGGGGCTCTCAGGCCTCCCTGGAGCCTTCCCTTCTCCAGCCTGGCCTTGGACACTTCCAGGGCTGGGGCAGCCACAGCTTCTCTGGGAAATCCACCCCAGCCCCTCCCCACCCTCCTAGCCAGGAATTCCTTCCCAAAATCCCACCTACCCCTGCCCTCTTTTAGTCTAAACCCACCCCCCCGTGCCCTGTCCCTCTCTGCCCGTGCCAAAGTCTCTCTCCCCCTTTTCCATCAGCTCCCTGGAAGGGAAGGAGCAGCCTCAGGGGCTGCCCCAGCCCTGCCCTGCTGCCTGCAGGTGGTCCAGGCACTGAATCCAACGAATCCAACCCCCCTCTCCGGGCTCTGGGATTAGTGCTGGGCCAGGGAACACGGCTGGGATTAACCCCAAGCCCGGTTTAAAGCCGCAGCAGCTTTGATTGCTGCGGGCAGACACGGGTCCCTGCAGACAGGGAGCAGCAGGGCAGGGGCCTGGCTCTGGGATAATCCCTCCCTCACAACCAGGCCACTCAAAGCTCTTTTGTTCGGCCTCTTTTGCCAAAAACACATCCCAGGGAGGGGCTGTCGCTTCCCCCGAGGGCTGAAATCCCGCCTGGAGCAGCCCCAGGGCACGGCCTGAGCTGGGAGGGGAGGGAAGGGAGGGCGGGGGGCAGCTCTCCCTGCCTGCCTTTGTCAGCAGCCACGGCCTAAAATCACCCCTGGATCCCCAGGCTCCTTCCAGCCCAGTGCACAGGGACACGGCTTTGGGAGCTGCTCATCCGTGACGGGCTCCGGGGGCACTGGATTGGGGCTGGATTTGGGCTCCAGGACACAGGATCTGGGGCTGGTTTGGGCTCCAGGACACAGGATCTGGGGCTGGATTTGGGTTCCAGGACACAGGACTGGGGCTGGATTTGGGCTCCAGGACACAGGACTGGGGCTGGATTTGGGCTCCAGGACACAGGACTGGGGCTGGATTTGGGCTCCAGGACACAGGACTGGGGCTGGATTTGGGCTCCAGGACACAGGATCTGGGGCTGGATTTGGGTTCCAGGACACAGGACTGGGGCTGGATTTGGGTTCCAGGACACAGGACTGGGGTGGATTTGGGTTCCAGGACACAGGACTGGGGCTGGATTTGGATTCTAGGA